CATATAAGGGATTTAGATTTCTTCAGATTATGAATACAATTAGTTTTACTTTATTTTATTTTTCATGGTACCAGGGATTGAACTCAGGACCTTGTGCTTGCTGGGCAGGCACTTGTGCCCCTGAGTCATATATCCCTGGCCCAATATAGTTAGCTTTAAAAAGAATTGTTTTGCACCATGTTTGTAAACGTAAGAGTGGCCTGAGACAAAACTCTATTACATTTTCATTTTGACCTTATCTATGTGATATTCAATTAATGAATACTGTCAACTGCATCATAAAGGAGATTTTGGATTTTTGATATTGTGCAATGAATTTTTCACTTTCTTATAGCTAGTTTCCTTCTTTATATACTCATTCTCCGTCCTTCTCACCACTGTCTCAGCTTCTCTCAATCCGACTTAGATACTCATGGGTATTCTCCATAGCGCATTTGAGTGCACCTATAAATCATATATACTGCAACAGTTTCAGTTCTTCTTCCCTATAAGGATTTCCAAAGATACACAGGTGCACACATACACCCCCCCACACCCCTTAAACTGCTGGTCATCTGAAGTTTTTAGGTTATACTACAAATGAGCAGAGAGCCACCATTGTGGATCTTGAGTTGCATTTAGGACACACTCCCCATGTGATGCCAGCTTGGCAGTGCCAGACACTAATATGAAACAGCAATTGTTACTGAAGCCCAACATAGTCAAGTGACAGCTTTTAGATACTATCAAGTGATAGCATGTGTCAGATACTTGCTGCTGATGTACAGAAAGAAGAGTTAGGGTTTAAGGAGTGAAGTTATTCATAGAAACAGTCAAATGAGCTGTGTCAAATGAAATTAAGTTCTGTTATGATGTTGAATAGTGTAAGAACAGTACCTAAATAGTCCTGCATTCGACATTCTTTTCATATTTTTAAAAATGGTTGACATGAGGAATGTAAAATATTAATAAAATTGAGCATTCATTATTTTTACATTTTTGAGGTGTTCTATTAAGGACATTTATTTATTTATTTATTTATATTATCTAATAAGTGACCTTGAGTCATTTCAGATGAACGTTTTCTACTTTCTAAAGTATAGGTTGTGATGATTATAGTTAGTGTTTTTTTAATTAAATTTAATTTTTTTAAATTTTAGATACAGAGTCTTGCTATGGAGTTAGGACTCATAGTGATCCTGGCATTACAGGGGTGTGCCACCATGCCCAGTTTTGAGGCTGGCACAGTGTACCTGGGGTAGCGGGTTGGCATGGCATGTGGTACCAGGGATGGAATTCAGGACCTTGCGCTTGTTAGGTAGGTGCTTATGCCACCAAGCTACCTCCCCAACCCTGTACTGAATCTTGTACATGTGTCAGAGTCACTTTTCTCATCACTGGGACAAAATACCTGATGCTGGTAATTAAGAAGAGTTTATTTTGGCTCATGTTTCAGTCCACAGTCACCCAACTCCAGGGCAGGACAGCGTGGCACAGAAGCTTGGCAGAGCATCTGTTCACCTCCAGGCAGATGTGAAGCAGAGAGCCAAGGGAGTGGGTGGGAAGGAGAGTTTGCACTTCCTTGTCATGGCACAGTGACTCTCCTCTTCCAGCAAAGCTCCACCTCCCAATCCAAGACTGCCTCATAATCCAGTCATTTTTATAAGGTTGACTGTGGATGTATGAGGCTTTGAGGGTACATCCAGTCATAAATCATAATATATATACACATATATATTCTACCTAGTCACTTACTTACAACATTCCTCCATGTCCACTGAAAGCAATAACCATTATTGTTGTAGTCTGTAAACCATTACAAGGGAAAAGATTTAATACAGGACACATTATTTATAGGATTATTTTATAATACTCACCCAAAGAGTCAAGTGCAAAGAATGTGGGGGATGTCTCTAGTGTGTAGAGAGAGATATACCCAAGTAATCCAGCTGATGGTCTGGATCTCACAGCAATGTCCTGCAGAAGTCCAGCTGAAGACCTAGAGCCTATGGCAGTGACCTCCATGAGTCTAGCTGGAGGGTTACAGCCCACAGCAATGTCTCACGTGAGTCTGTGTTAATGATCTGCAGTGGGAAGCCACAAAGGTCAGTGGTGGAAGCTAGAATTTCTGCACGAGTGGGATGAAGGATGTATGTCAGCAGGATGAGGTATCTGTGCTGGAACTAGGAAGTGATTGATATTCAAGGTAAGGACCAGAGCTCTCCTGAAAACAACTATAGCCATCCTCGTTGATAGCAAGGACCTGAGCTCCTCCAATAATGAGAACAGCTGAGTTCATTTCAAGAATACCAAGCAAGACAAGCTTCTCGCAGAGAATCAGTAGCACATCTTTGCTCCAGATATTCTTTTATGCTGTTGGCAACAATTCTCAGGTGGGCCTTCCACACTCAGCATCACCCTGATTCAGTTCAAGGGTTACAAGTGGACCATTAGTTAATCCATTGCAATTATACTATTTCCTTTCTTGGTTATCTTTTGCATCTTTTGTCAGTTAGTGAGAGCACTGCACATTTGCCTACAGCAATTCCTATTACAATAAGTAATTTTGAGTCAGTACACCCTACGTTATTAAAGTTTATTCCCAAATTTTTCCCCATTGGAAAATACATTGGCAAGCTATATTCTGGGTCATCCATCTCTGGCTCACTATTTTTACGTTAGTCTTGTTAGTTCACAGTGATTTTACCTGTTTTAATAAGAGTGAAAAGAAGAACCTAAATTAACATCAACAGCGAAGTCATGTTAATCACATACTTGGATATGATGTTTTATGAATGGCCCTTTACCTATGTGGCTTTCTGTCCCCAACATATTATCCCGGCATAATCATGAGAAAACCATCAGACAAAGGCCAACTGAGGGACATTATAAAATCACCTGACCATACCTCTTCAAAGTTGCCAAGAGAATTAAAAATAAGGCAATTTGGAGAAACTGTTTCAGCCAAGAGCCTAAGGAGGCATGATGACAGAATGTAATGTGGTATCTTAATGGAATCCTGGAGCAAAAGAAGACATAAGGAAATCTGAATGATGTATGACTTTTGAATATGGTATCAGTATTGGTTCATTTTATTTTATTTCTAAAAAGTTTTTATTAGTGTACATTTGTAGTACACAGCATTTACATTCATTTTGGGGAATAGGTACATGTGCTTTATGTATTGTGTTTCTTTTTATTCCTCTCTTCCACGCCTCCTTCATCCCATTTTTAGATCTCTCTTAGTTCACTTTTGTAACACATAATGATTACATTCATTGTAGGTAGTTGGTACATGTACATGAACATAACTTCTTATGCCCTTCTCCCACCTTTGGTCCTCTCTTCCAATTTATGGAAGTTTTCTCTATTTCCTTTTATTTGTCTTTTTTTTTGGCGGAACTGGGAATTGAACTCAAGTCCCTGAGCTTGCCAGGCAAGTGCTTAGTCTACTGAGCTACCTTCTTGGCCCCTTTACTTTATTTATACTTTGAATTTATGGTATGAGGAAAAAATAGTATTTATGCGTGTATGCCTGATTTATTTCATTTATTTTTATTCATTTTTAAACATTTTATTTTGTACTGGGGATTGAATTCAGGACCTTGGACTTGCCAGGTAGGTGCTTATGCAGCTGAGCTATCTCCCTGGCCGATTTCACTTAAAATTATGTTTTCAGATGGCATTCCTTTCCCTACAAATGTATTCTTCTTTATGATTGAGTGGTTTTCCATTATGTATGAGTACCATTTTTTTATCCATTTGTCTATCCATATTGACTGGTATATAGTCTACTTTCAGATTTCAGCTTTATGAACTATGCTACTGTGAACACTGATATGCATGTATCGCTGTGGTTTGATAGCCTTAACTCTTTCGGGAAGAGGTCTAGTGGGGAAATGGTTTAGTTTGAGGAATCTCTGTACTCATCTCCTTAATGAGTACATATTCCCACCAGTAGTGTAGGAGTGTTCCTTTTTCACTGCCTCACCAGCATATTATTATTTGATTTTTTGGTGATTGCCATTTTTTTTTCTGGAGATAAAATTTTGATCTTATTTGACTTGATATTTCTTGAATGGCCTGTGATGTTTCATGTATTTATTGACCCTTAACATTTCTTCTTCTGAAAAGTGTCTACACATTTCAGTTGCCTTATTTTTTAATTGGGCCTTTAATTTTTTTTGGGTGGGGTAATGTTTTTGAGTTCTTTATATACTCTTGATGTTAGTCCTCTGAGGAATAGTTGGCAAAATTATTTTCTATTTTTTAACTTCTGCCTTCATTCTGTTGTTTTCTTTGTTTTGTAGAAGGTTTTGATTTGAAATGAACTCATTTGGGGGGCCTGCCCCTTAGCTCAGTTCTTTAAGTGGCTGCTTCAACAAAGCAGTCAGGCTCAGGTTGCTGTGGTTCAATC